CCGGGCCCCGCCGCGGACATTGGCGATCCCTAGCGCTATGCCACGTACCGTGCCTGGGATGCCCTACCTGCCAGGGGCACGAGCTGCTTTCGGGCAGGAAATCTCTCCTTGGCCCTGCCAGAGCACGCAACACGCCACGAGGAAGGACCTGTCCCCGTCTCGTTAAACCTCCTCCTTCCCTTCCAGGCTGGGCAGTACGCCTCCGTTTTCGTAGACAACACTGCCCGCTCTCCCGTCACTGTTCAAAGCGGCTCAGATTTCAGCGCTGTTCTGCTGGGGGTGTGAAAAGGCTCGGGGCCCTGCACACGGCTCCAAGCCTCTCCGCCAGGACCGACCGGATCCTTCCGTCCGCCAACGGCCGCTCCATCGCCCCTGCTCGCCGCCAGGCCCGGGAAAGACCTGCCGCTACAGCAGGAGCGGTAAGCTGGCCAGATCCTACCCCAGGACCCAGCCGCTCGAAGCCAGAAGAAAGTCAGTCAGGAAAGGGGAAAAACCATAAATAAACAAACCCCCAAAGGCACAATGAACTAAAGGAGTTCACTTTAATCTAAAGGCTAGGGCTGCAGGTTTATCTTGAAAAACAATGTTGACGGCTTCCACAGTGGGCTAGTTCCCCTGCAGGGATCTGCTCCCACCACTCCAGGCAGCTGCGCTTGTGACAACGGAAGTAGAGGAAAGCCCCAAGTCCCTGTCTGAGCTCTTAGCAGATTTCCCTGCCCAGCGTCTCAGCAGCTGAAAACAGATTATTCGTTATCGCTCGCTTCCCCGTAATTTATTAGCGGTTAATATTTCCCAGCAGAAGCCAGCGCCCTCTGAAGTTAATCTCCAAAGCAGAGCAGTGTCCTGATAATTCAGCGCTTTCTAGTAAAGCAAATTGCTGCCCCATGACTTCCCACTTCTGAGGCCTCGTGTCCTGGGCCAGGTGTTCCCTGCCTATGGCACAGGGCCCAGGCCGTGGGCAGCGCAGATAGGCTCTTTGCTTTGGCCCTGATAGCAGTCTAAACCGAGGGATGGGAGCAGGGCTACGTGCCTGAGGGAGGGCCGCAGGATAGGTACCCGAGCAGGCTGGGCGTGGGGCAACGAAGCTGCACGTTTTATTTCTTAGTAGCACGTAGCGCGCTGGGGGAGCTGTGCCAGCAGTGCCGCGAGATAGCCGGGGAACTACACCCAGCCCCACCTTCGCCAGGGGAGACAAGCACGTAAAGGGGCAGGGCAGCCTCCTCTGCCGCTACCTCAGCCCCGAGGGCTTTCCCTGGCCTCCTCCGCGGGCACAGGCTGCGTCTCCCCTAGGGCCCTGCCGAAGTAGCTGTTGCTGCAGTTCTTGGTGGTGGGTGCAGGGGGTTAGATGCTGGAGGAAGCTCTGCTTCTGCAGTCTTAACTCTCAGTTCTTCCCTGTGACAAAG